TTTATTTTTATGTGGTGCTGAGGATGGAACCCAATGACTCATGGGTGTTGGGCAAGCACTTTACCCCTGAGCTACAACCCCAGCCAGCGCCCAGCTATTTTTAATCTTCAGACAGGGTCTAGCTAAATTGCTGAGACTGACCTTGAATTTGCCATCCTCCTGCCATGAGCTCCCAAGCTGCTGGGATTATAGACATGTGCCACTGTGCCCTGCTAGTTATATGTACATACTGCTCCAGTTTATATTGTCTGTAAGGGTCCCAGGTATGCTGGTACACACCAGTAATCCCTGCAACTCAGGAGGCTGAGACAGGAGGATTTCAAGTTCGTGACCAGCCTTAGCAATTCGGTGAGGCCCTAAGCAACTTAGTGAGACTCTGTCTCAATAAATAAATAAATAAATACATAAATAAAAAGAGTAGGGCTGGGGATATAGCTCAGTTGATAGAGTGCTTGCCTTTCATGCATAAGGCCCTAGGTTCAATCCTCAGCACCACAAAAAAATAAAATAAAATAAAATAAAAAGAGCTGGGGATGTAGCTCAGTGATAAAGTACCCCTCTGGGTGCAATCCCCAGTACCAAAATAATAATAATAATAATAATAATAATTATTATTATTATTATAATGTATTTAGTAAAGAGGCAATTTTAAAGAAAAAACAAGTTAATAAAAGTGTCTTTGAGAGAGAAATTTATCAGTTTTGGTTGGGCCAAGCAGCTATTGTTCCATTGTCTTTTTCTTTCTCTTTCTCATGGTGTGTGTGTGTGTGTTTTGCTGGTACCCAGGGACTCACGTATGCTAGGCAAGTGATCTACCACCGAGCAATACCCCCAGACTCATGACCTTAGTTTAGAACTTGCTGTTCTAAAGGAAGAATTACCACCAGTGCTCTGAACTACTGCATGAGCAATTCTACAAGACAATAAAACATCACAGGGAAGGGAAGATCTTGTCAGTGGATACCAGTGGGATTGCTCTAAGTGCTCCCCTGTCTTCTGGCCAGCAACTCTGGGTGAAGCCTCTGCAGTCAGAAGCATTACGAGCACAGTGGAGGAATGGAGACCAGAGATGGGAAGTTCTTGCCTGGACACTCTGCTGTCATGAGGAGTGGATCCAGACCTGGAACTCAGGGGTACCTGTTGCTAGGCTTGAATTCTTTCAACAAGGAGGGAAAAGCTTCTTCCCTAAATCCCAAAAAACCCATCTTTCCTTACTAGTCTGTTGAAACAGAACAAACACAAAAGTTCATCTCATTTTATCCTCATGGCACTCAGCATCCAGAGAAGTTGGCAGCAGAGTGGCAGTTAACCCTTTTCTCAATCAAAGGAAACAAGACACAGACATATTAAACCTTCTTCCAAGGGCTCTGCTGCCAGGATTAGAAGCTGTGCTGGTGCAGGACTCCTGAGTATCAAATGCTGATGCCCCCCCACCCCTGGGGCCATCTGGCTCACGTCATTGCTGATGGTGGAGTCTCGGTGGATGAGGCGCTGCACGTGGCTGTCGATGCTGCTGCCTGAGGAGAACTTGGTGAGCGTGGCTGGGTGAGCTTCCCGCTCCCGCTGCCTCACCACCACCTCACAGGCCTTCCATTCCGCCAACACCTGCTGGTACCTTGCTGCCACCGCTGTGTCTACCTGTGCTCAGACCACACCATGAATATGCAGGGAGGGTGTACTAGGGCTTCCTCCTTAGGGGCTGGGCACACTGGACCTTTGGCCCTGAGTTACAGAGGTCAGAAACTAGAGTAGGATCTTGGGTGAGGTCATTGGGGCCATGCTACTACCACCTTCCTCTGTAATGTTTCTTCTGGCTGGGAAGGGGCTGAGGCTTCTAAGGCCCCCTCCCTGGAGGCCCTTGGCCCAGCCCCCCACCTCCCTACACCCCATGAGAATGGGTTCCTCTTACCTGCTCCATCTCCTTTTTGCTCATACCAAATTTATAGTGGCCAAGGAGGAAGGGCCAGACGTCCTTGCGGATCTCATGTTCCACACCTCCGTAGTACACCTGCCTTAGCAGCTCCAGCTCCTTATAGTTCTAAGGGGCCCAGGGGTAAAGACTATGTGGCTTCCACAGTCACAGTGCTCCAGCTGGTTGAGCCCAATCCCATGGAGTGGGGGGACAAGGCAATGGCCTTCAGTCATTCAGCTTAAGGATGGCCTTGTCCTCCTGTGCCCCAGGTTACAAGTGGATGAGATCTAATTCACCCTCCTTCCTTACAGGGCAGGAAATGGAGCCCAGAGGGAGGTGGCGATCAGCCGGAGGTCACAGAGCAATATGGAAGCAGAACAGATTCTCAGCCTAGTTCTTTCCCACATGGACCCACAGACCCAGCTGTATGTGATTCCACTATGACACAGTTACTCCATGGCCATCAATCTTGGCCTGTCAACCCCACGCCAAATACAATTTCCCTGAATGCCCATTTAGTCTATAAAAACTGCTCCCAGATCCAACAGCTATGCACAACTACTGCCCACTCCAGCCCTCTACCTGGCCTCTGGCTGCAGAGCCCCAGTTTATACCTTTTTGTCCTTCTGATACTTGCTCCACACATCCTTGGTGAGGCCTCCCAAGGCCCCTGGGGGTCGATCAGGTGGGATAATGTTGTGATGCACCAGTGCTGACAGGTGGGTCCGTACCGTGGACAGGTGGCGGCAGTAGGCCAGCCCTGCAGTGGGGAGCAGGAGACTGTACCAGAAGTGCATCCCCACCCCCTGATCCCTCACAGTCCCATCTCACCACACACTCACAGCCGTAGAAGGCCCGGGACACGATCTGCCTCTTCATGCTCTCACACAGCAGCCTGAGGGGCAACCTGTGGAAACAACCTGGCTCAGAGGCCCAGGGCTGTAGCCTGAGGTGGAGGAAGGATGAGAAGGGAAGATATTCTGGCCTAGGAGGCAGGCAAGGTCCTTAGGATGGCACAGGGAGCAGCACAGCAGCATGTCAACAGCTCCCTGTCCCTGCCAGTCAACATCAACTTTGCTGCCAGAGATGGGGGACACCAGCCCCCAACCACCTAGCAATCTTGGGCAACTAATTTCCCCTTAGTGAATCTTGGTTTCCTCATGTGAAAATGAAGAGACTCACCTCAGGGCATAAGGAGTAGCAGTAAAAAAACATGAAGTAACAATTTAGAGGAAAGCACCCAGCCAGTGGCCCTACAAAAAGGCTATTTGCATATTGCTCTTACACATGGCAGGTGCTCAGAGACTTGTTGAGTGTCCTCACACATATAGCCTGACAGTAGGGTCTATGCGCACACTAGGAAGGGGAGCTCACAAGTGTTGGGTACCTACTTTGTGTAGGCACATGCCTGGCATTCACTTACTTAGTCTTCACCAGTGCTGTAGGAAGCAGGCAATGTTATCTCCATTTTATGAGTGAAGAAACTGAGGTTTAAAAATGTAGAGGCTAGAGCGCTAGCCTAGCACACGTGAAGTTCAATCCCCAGCACCACATCAAAAAACTAAATAAACCAATTGAAGGTACTGTATCCATCTACAACTCAAAATGTCTTTAAAAAAAATGTAGAGGAGAGCTGGGGATAGCTCTGTTGGTAAAGTGCTTACCTTGCATGCACGAGGCCCTGGGTTCAATTCCCAGCACCAAAAAAAAAAAAAAAAATTGTAGGAGTGTTGGGGTTGGTAGAGCACTTGCCTAGCATGTGTGAGGCACTGGTTTGATCCTCCACACCACATAAAAACAAATAAATAAATAAAATAAAGGTACTGTGTCCATCTACAATTAAAACAATTTTTAAAAATATTTGTTTTTTAGTTTTAGGTGGACACAATATCTTTATTTTATTTTTATATGGTACTGAGGATTTAACCCAGTGCCTCATGCATGCTAGGCGAGCACTCTGCCACTGAGCAACAACTCTAGTCCCTAAAAAAAAAATATTTTTTTTAAAAAAATGTAGAGGCTCAGAGAGACCCAGCAACTTGCTGAAGTCACCTGTATATCACAAGTGAAATTTGATTTCAGGTTTGTCCAACTCTAGAGACAACCCTTGTCATGCAAGTGACAGCTTCTGAGGATGGAGGGACACATATGAACCGACATGCTAACAGGAAGCTGATCTGGGCCCTGCCCACTCACCGGTCTGGGACACAGCTGCAGTGACTGGGGGTTGCATATGGGGAGCTGTTGGAGGAGCAGGAGAGGCAAGAGGAGCGCTGGCTGCACAGGGGTTCTAGGTGCCAGGCTGTCAGGCTGGGCCCAAAGCCTTGCATCTCGATCATGTCGCCAGCATCTGAGGGCAGGAAGGGGCATGGTCAGCAGCTGGAAGGCCTCTTCCCCAAGCACCCTGGGGTATGCCCACCTCTGTACCCAGAGCTGCAGCATAAAGTCACCCGTTGGTGGAAAAATCACAGAGATGGTTGCTGCCTGGTGCAGAGCCCAGAGATGGAAATGGTGGAAGAGGGCACTTGACACTTCTCAGCCTTCACTAAACCCAGAGAGGTTGTCTTTCATGTGTGATAAAATACTTGGACTGAGTCAGGGGTGATTTGCTTACCTACCTCTGTCTCACTACCAGCAAACTCTTGCTTTTCTAGAGGGAGGGGAAGGAAAGAGAAGGAATAGCCAAGACCTGCTGAGCTCTCTGAAATGCTACCAGTTAGCCTGACCTCTAGGGGCTTGGTTTGATTCTCTAGAGTAAAACTCTGAGATGCCCTTGTTGTGCATCTCAGAGTTTTACTCTAGAGAATCAAGTGCATCAATCTGTGACCCTGCCCAGACAGGGGAGTCTCTAGTGACTAAAGCCCCTGAGGGTCCCTGAGCTACTTGTCCACAGGCCTCACTCTTTGAGGGAGTTTAGATCTGGTAGCCAATGGCTAAGTAGGAACAGTGCTCCCTGCCAAGGCTGGACACTTTGAAGCCTAAATGGACTGTACTAGATATGGCGGCTCCTCTCAGGTAAGCTGGAAGAGAGGGAGGAATTCCAAAGGCTGCCAGGGACTCTGGCATCCAATGCAGAAGTCACAGACAAATGTACCCAGGTACAGCCTCCTAAGATGACTCCTTGGATATGTCTACACAATGCAAATGGAACTTTCTCAGCCAGCCCTGCTGGTCTAAATCAGAACCCAAGACCCTTGAGAGTTTCCAGGACCCAAGTAGGGCAGGGCACTGCTCAGGGGGGATACTGATAGGTCCAGGAACCACAGAGATGAAGCACAGTGAGGGCAGGAAATGAAAGGACCCAGAGGTGATACCACAAGGGAGGGAGAGAGCAGAGCAGAGTGAAGAAGAACAAGGAGAGAGAGCTGTGTGTGCTGAGGACACTGTTTCTTTCGGCTGTGGCTTTCTTGGTGAATCTAGTGTGGTCCTGGCCCACCATGGACTGGAGCAGGCCTAGGCCTGGTTTTTCTGGGACTCAGACTCCAGATCTGGATGTGCCTTATAAGGAGGGCTGAGCTGATCCTTCTCCAGGCCCCTCAGGGATTGCCTTGCCTTGGACCCCCAAGATCCATGGCAGGTATTTGTGTAGATATCTGGCCCTTCAGCTCCAACAGGAGGCAAATTAAGGAGGCAAATTGGTGGGGTGGGGGCTGCGGCTCTGGGAGTGAGGGATTGCAAGCCATGCCTGAGATTCTAGGAAGAAAAGAGGGAAGGGGCAAAGTGCAGGTGGGGTGGGACAGGAGTCCAGGTCATGCCCCTGCAGCGAGAGAGAGGCCAATCCTGGGAGGAGCCAAGGTAAGAGTTGGCCCAGCTGGACAGGCAGCAGGCAGCAGGCGGGCAGGCAGGGAGGGTGACAGGTGCAGAGGGTGGAGGGTGGGCACACGGGGAAACCAAAGCTCATGCCCAGAAAGCAGGGCCCAACCAAGGCAGGTCTCCTGGGTCAATGCTCTTCACCTTAATTCTCCAGGAAGGAGCTGAACCAGCCAGCACTGACTGAGCATGGCATTTGAACAATCCAGTGCAGACAGCTGGAGCTCTAGAGTGACTGGGTGAGGGGCAGCAGGCTGCATGGGGGGTCTGCTGGGTTAGCTTTGACTCTGACTCTCTCCTCTGAGCATGAGGAAAGTGTAAAGCAAACAATCAGGGTGGGTGAACCCCACAGCCCCTAAGACTCCGAGTGAAAGGTGCCTGGCCTGGAGCAGAATTAGAGTGAACAGCATCTCTGCTCATTCGGGGAGGCAGCAGGGAAAGGAGGGAGAGGAGGGGGAGGAGGAGATCTGGACACCCCGCCACTTGAATCACATGCACAAGTCAAGCATGTTGCAGGCCTCAAAAGCAACGGCTAGCAGAATGGACTCAACAGTGTTGTCATTATGGACTGGAGTGGAAGTGGGGGCTCCCATCCCCTAACCCCTCTCCCCCAACCACTGACAGATTCTGCTCTCATACCTCCTCCCCTTTCCCAAGTACTGGGGGCCTCAGGACTGCATCCTGGATTGTCTAGCCCCTGAGTTCTATAAGAGAATGCCCAGACAAATCCCAGGTCCTCTGGGTCTAAAGTGTCTGATCCCAGAAGCCTCAGCCTTAAGACTGGTCAGGAATGACTTTTCTTTCTTTCTCCTCTCTTTTTTTTTTTCCACTAGGATTGAATCCAGGGTAATCTTAGCAGTGAGCTATATCCCTAGTCATTTTTTAATTTTTATTTTGAGACAGGGTCTTGCAGTTGCTGGGACTGGTCTCAAACTTTAGATGCTCCTGCCTCAGCCTCCCAAGTGGTTGGGATTTCAGGCAGGCACTACCATGCCCGGCAGGGATGGCTTCTCTATTACCAAGCTGCCAAGACAAGGGTTCTTTGAGACATACAGCCTCCAGCCTCTAGCCTGACTGCCAGTTCATGGGATAACAAGGTCCCTCTCAAAGCTTAACCTTCCTACTCAAATTCAGTTAATCCGTAAATAGGCATCAGTGCCAAGTCCAAGTTTGCAAGGAAACAGATGGCAGGCATGTATATAGGCAGTAAGGTAGAATATTCCTACCTGGGCCTGGCCTACAGACTTTTGTTGGAAGGTCTGGGAGGGAGGGCAGGCCCCAGGGCAGGATGTGGCAGGAAGAGAAGCAGCTGGCAGGGTTAGCTAAGGGGGTGCTAAGTGTGGGTCTCCTGGGATGGTGGCATATTATGGCTTAGTAGCCGGGCTAAGGAATAGAGTTCCTTAGCAGAATTTTATGGAAGCATAAGGCGAGTATTACATATTCTTAAGACTCCCCCTTTTGGGGCAGAGAAAGCAATTAATTCTGGCATGAAATGGTTAGGGATAGAGAAGTTTGCTAATCTTCGAGAGAGCTGGCTCAGCCCCTTCTGATCAGCCTTTCCTTAAGAGTCCCTTCCTAACCCTCACAATACTCCTGGCTGACAACTCTCCAAAAAGAGTGGGATTCCCTCTCTACCAAACCAGCTCTGTGCTAAGACAGACAGTGTGGGTAGGGGAACACTGAGGGACTGCAGGCACTGTGTTGTATTATTCCCAATGAAGGGGACCTCTTCAATCATGAACTCTAAGGTCTGTGAGGATGGGACACACCTGTCTGACATCTCTGACACACCACGTGGCACAGATGAAGAAACTGAGCTTTGAGATGATGAGGTACAGAAAGCCAGAGGCATATCTGGGGCAGGAATTTATGTTGCCATGTCCTAAGTCTATGTCCCTTCCTGGACATCCTGCTGCAGATATTTCTAGATTTCTTGCTAAAGTACCAGGCCATACCTGCTGGAGCCTGCAGAGCCCTAGGGTCTCTTCCCAAAGTGGCCCCTGACCTGTCTGACCCCATCCCTGCCCCAGGAAGGGTCTGGTACCCCTATCCTGTTTCTATTAAGTCAGGAGTCAAAAGCACAGGACTGAGGCTGCCTTTCCCAATCAGCAGGAGGAAAGGAAAGAGACCACTATCTGGTGCTTGCCGGCAGGAATGCTAGGTGCAAGAAGGGGCTCAGGGAGCCATTCAGCCCCCCAAGAGGCAATCAGATAGTGAGCCTTTCCCTTCAGAGGCTCATCTTCCCTCTCAGCATGAAGCCTCCTCCTTTTACTCAGAACTATTCACTCTATTATGTCCCTCTTTTTGCCAGCACTTGTCTAGCTTCCTTGCATCCTTATCTGCCTCCTGATGGAAGGGAACCACCCTGGGTTTAAGTCCCCTAATGCCAACACTGCTGTTTGAGCCCTGTGGTGGGTGGCAGGTGGGCCCAGGGGGTGGGGTGGAGGATGAGGTGGGTCAGGGACAGGGAGGGATAAAAACCTTTCATCGGATTGGGAGCTGTGAGGTTCCGCGAGCAGATCATTGAGAGCATCGAGTGCAGTTTATCCTCCTCTTCCTCATCATCGTCCACCGAGGCCGCGCGGCTGGCCGCTAGGTGGTGGTAGTTAATAGTGACTGCTCAAAGAGAATAGCGAGAGAGGCAGAGGCATGAGGACCCTAGTCCCTGGGTCAGTGGGACCAACTCCTTCCTTGAGGTGAGTGGGTGGCATGAAGCTGGGATCACCTTGAACCTGCAGGGCATAGAAGATGGGCGTGGGGGGTAGCCTGAGAGCCCTCTGATGAGTACTTAGGAGAAGGCAAGGGGCTGGACAGCAGTTACAGAGCCCTACTCTTCGAAGGGGCTCTTTCTAGAAAAAACAGAAGAGAGAGAACTGGTGTGTATGTGTGTGTGTGTGTGTGTGTGTGTGTGTGTGTGTGAGAGAGAGAGAGAGAGAGAGAGAGAGAGAGAGAGAGAGAGAGAGAAAAGAGTGAAGGAGAGAGGGAGGGAGAAATATAGGAACTATTTGGGATAGGTTGGCAACTTAGGAGCTCGCCAGCCCTGGCCAAGGTGGACAGGACTACTGGCAGATGGTCATGGTCATTCTTCAGCTCTCATTATGGTCAGACTGAAATGAATCTGAAATTTACCCCAAACTCCCATAGACTCAACCTTTTCCTTCTCCAAGGGTTTTCCCAGAGCCGCCTTGCCCTTGAGAAGCCCAAGTCCCTCTGCTGAGCTTCAGCTCTGTTGCCCTGGCTTGCCTTTGGGGAATTAGGGTTCTTAAAGTGAAGTTTCGAACATTGGGAAATGCCATCAACTGAAGAGAGGAAGGAGAGACTGAAGAATCTAAAACTAAACAACAACCTGAGATTAAATGCCAGGTTTGCAAACACATTCAGGCAAAAAGATGTCTCCTTGACAGGCCATCTGGGAGGGAAGGGGGATTCTCCTCACCTTGTGCCTTCCAAACTTTTTAGGATAATTGGTGCTGTGGCTACATGTATGCTGTTTGGGTCATCTGCCCTCCAATACTGAGACAACTTATTGACAACTTTTTGGTACCAATTAAGAAATTTAGGGAGCAGGTGGTCTGGTGGGCAGTAGATACTCTGGGCTGGCAAATTCTCTGACCTTATCTACGTGAACCGTGAGTCTCAACAAGAGAAACCTATGGGTCGAAGCAGCAGAAAGGGAAGTTTGGTGTTGGTAGATACTCAGAGATAGGCCCCTTAGGCCGAGGGGTGTCTGACAAAGGCAGGCAGGACCTATGAGGGCCCAGCTACCTTTGGGCCCCCAGCCCTCAACATCCAAATCTCACCCTCTTCAGAAGCAACCCCAACCTCAGTCAGAGCTCCTCTTGTCAAATGCTGGCTTGAAGAGAGCTCCGGCTCTAGGGGAGTTGGTGAACAACTTGCTTTGTCCAAAAGAAGCGCAAGTCCCATGCCCAGGCTGCCTTGTGGAGGTCGAGAGGCAGGTGGAAGAGAAATGGAGAGTTTTCTACCTTCTATTTCTAGTCCCTTCACATTTTTCCCCCCTGGGGTAGAGCATGAAAGGTGACTAAGAATATTGTGCATGACACCTGGGTCTCCTGAGCCAAGAGTCTCGGGGAAAGAAACAGGTGGGGAAGACTGCTAGGAAGAGAGGTGAGCTCTCAGGAGATGATCTGCAGGTGAAAGGTCCAGGAGAGAGGCCAGTAATGACCTCATCTTAATCTGGTCTGGTCTGGGGACCCTGCCTGATATTCTCTTGGGTGATAGAGTGTTCTCTACCTCCCTGAGCATCTTTCTGTCCTCCTCCACTAGGGAAGCTTGGGACACTCACTGTGCTCGTGCCTATGCCCAGGGTAGATGATCCGGAACACGTAGTCTGTGGCCCGCCCCATGCCCAGCTCCTCCACATCCACGGGTCGCATGCTGCTGCGTTTCCGCAGCTTGGGGAACACCTTGCCCTGTGGAGAGAGGGGGTGGTCAGCCTTTCCAGGGCAGAGCCCTACCAGGGTCCGGCCTAAGAACTCCCGAGTAGGGAAAGAAAGGGTGGTGGCCAGAGAGCCACCCATACAGCCCTGCACCCAGAGACTCCCATTCCCTGTGGTACCTTCCCCTGCTGGGTCCACAGCGGGGGCTCAAGCTGTCCTCGAGGCAGCAGCCCATTCTCCAGACAGGACAGAAAGGACAGCAGGTGTCCTCCCTGTGGGAAGTGCAGTGGTGGTCTCTGGATGCCGTCCTGGCTCACCAGCACAAGTGTGCCACCGCTCTCTGGGGGTGAATGTGGACAAGTGAGCTGGAGCCCTCCTCAGACATCCCACTCAACCGTTACCATAGCCCTGTAAGCCAAGTGCCCCAGACTGGGTAGTAGAACAGTCAGGCTGGAATGTGGCCTGGGAGCCTCATTAATAGGAACAGCAGGAGGGCCAGGGATAGAGCTCAGTGGCAGAGTATATGCTTAGCACACACAAGGCCCTGGGATTTGATCCCTAGCACCACAAAAACAAAACAAAAACAAACCAACCAACCAAAAAACAAAAAAAACAGTGACAAGGAGAGGGAAACAGGAAGTCTGACAGGCCCCATGCTCAGCATACAATTGAGAGAAGGTGTCTCTGCCCTCCCACCCCTGTGCTGGGACAAGCAGACTCACTTTGTTGATGGCAGTGAATACAGACGATCTGACTGAAGGGCACCACCAGGGCATAGTCCCAGTAAACACTAGAAAGGAACCAGATTGATGTCACTGTGTCCCAAGATCTATTATTCTCCCTTCCTTGTTAGCTGGCCCCAAAACCTCTTGAAACTACCCTTAAGATAGGATGACCACAGAGGAGAAGTAACCTCAGTCAGTCATGTCCCTCTGAGCCCCATGCTGTCCTCATGGCACAGGGCCCATCAGACTCCACTGCCTAGAGCTGGGCTCAGTCCCAGAGAGCTTGACAATCACTCCAGGTGGCCTCTCCCTACCATGTGTGGCTCTGGGATAGCAGTGAGACCTGCCTCCAGGAGCAGTCTGGGTCTTTCCACACCCCACTCCCTTCCCTGGCTCCTGGGAGAAGTGCCAAAGCCCCACCTCTTTTCCAGCTCAGTGTCCCCCAGAGTCCCGTTCATGAGCTGGTTGGGGGTCCACTTCAAAGTTAGGCTCTCTGCAGACTGGTGTAGAGAGAGGTAGCCAGGGACAGCCTCCATGTCCTCCTTCTATAGGGAGGAGACACAGCAGAAGACAGAGACAGTGAGGGGCTGGGAGGTGCCCCAGGATTGCCCATGGAAATGAACTCCAGGTGGGGGCAGGGTAGGCCAGGCTAGGCCAGTCATGGGGTTCTGACTGGGCTGGAGCAAGGGAGAACAAGAGCCATCTGGCCATCTCCTCTTCCTGGCTGGCCTGGTGCCATTGGCTCTGTCACGTTAGCCTCCTGGATGCCAGGTGTGTCCTGGGCCAGCCACACCCAAGCTGAGCATTCACCCTGCCTTCTGGCTGCCATTCCTACCCCTGGATGGCCTGGCTCTCTATCAGCCAGAGCAGATGCCACCTGGCTCCTGCCAATTTCAGGCTGGACATGAGTCATATGAAACAGTGAGGTGGGGGTGGGGCTATGTTACTCTTTCTCTCAGGTCAAGCTCCTTAGGAAAAGAAAAAAACTGTGGCTGGAAGCTTTCAGTTCCAGGGTCTTCGGAAGAGGGAAACTGAGGGTGGCATCAAGCTTTCCTACCGGCTGCACCAGCACGTTGTTCTTGCCGTAGAGCAGTCGTGTTCTTGAGTTCTGGTGCAGGGACTCCACATACTCGCGGGCACAGGTGGCTAGCCTGTCCTCTGATGCACTGCCACTAGAATGTCGCTTCCGGATCTGACAGGAAAGCCATGGCTCATCCCTGGCCTCAGGAAATCAGCCACAGGACTTGAGAACCCTCAGGCTTCCATGACAACCCTTTCTTGTTGACCCTAGGACTTCTTGCCCCCCTAGTTTGTTTCCAGCCACCCTCTCATTTCCAGCCAAGAACTGGCACAGGTTTGTGGCATTTTTTGCAAGTGGGGAGAAGGCTCTCTAGGAGTGGCTACTACCTGGGGAGCCAGATTCCCCTCCCTCTAGTCTCATGAACATAGCCTGAATAAGTGAGCAAGGGGATGGGGAGAGGGACACCCACCCCCAGGGCAGGGCGCTTTGCAGGAGAATCCTGGCGACTAGGGGGACCCCGGATACGGTGCCTCTGGACTAGCTCATCAGCAGAGGGGTCAGTCCAATAGTGATCAGCCGTCTTGAGCTTTGTGTATTCCAAGGCACAGGGTCCCACTGTGGAGATAGGGATGTTAGTTTGAGAAACTAGAACTGCCCCTTACCCACGCCCCACAAAGGCCTATAAGCTCTCAGGCTCACCTAGAAGAGAGGCCAGGATGGGGCCAAACACAGGGTCTGCCAGTAATGCTTCCTTCTCATAGTACTTGCTGCCAGCGGGAGGGAGACAAGGTGATTGTCAGTGCCCTTGGACCTGGTCCAGGGTGGTGAAGCTCACCAGGGAGGGGACAATCCCCACAAGGTCAGATTCATGTCAATCACCAAGGAAAGTCTATAGGATGGACTTTTGCAGGGTACCTGGTATGGTCTATGCTTTTGGAGTACTTAAAGGGGAGCTGGAGGCATGACTATAGGCTATCCTGACCGTTAAGCAAGGAGAGGCACAGGGCTGAGGAGGGAGCTAATTGGGGAATGGGGCAGTCACCTGCAGTTCTCCGCCAGGTACTGCACAACCCTGTCCAGAACTTTCTCCATGAGTGCTGTGCGTACCCAAATGTGCTTCAAGGCCTGTGGGCTGAGGACCGGGGCCTTCCCACCAGCTGGGCCCTGTTTCCGCAGGGCCTCCTGGCCACCTCCTGAGGGTCTCCTGCAATGAGGAGGAGGAGGACTTCAGAAGTATAAGAGCTTGGGGGTAAACCACAGGTCTGTGGCACTAGGAGTGAAAACTGGTGCCACAAGATGGGAGACCAGAGAGTTCCTGAGCAGGAACAGGGAGTCAAAGGGCACTGAGCCCTTTGCAAGTTTAACTGTCACCCACAGGCTTATCCCTCACCCAACAGGTCCTGTAAGAGATGGGCCAGGAAGCCAGCCTCTAGGTGGGTTTTCCTGGGAGGTAGCAGATGGCCAACTGGAAAGAGCAGAAGAGAGGGTCAGGAAAGTCTGGCATGGGGCTTACCTGCCCTCTACTTGTTGTTGCAGCTCCTGTACCTTGTGGCAAATCTCCCCAGCCACAGGGCACGTTTTCCCCACCTTGGTGAACAGAGCTGCCATCTTGTCACTGCGCAGGAAGCCAGCAGCACGGCGTCTCAGTTGATGCAGGAGGCAAGCCTCCACAGCACCTGGGCCACAAAGGAAAATAGCACCTGAGTCTGGGCAAGAGAAGGGACACTCCTGTCTCCCATGCCTATGGAAAGGCAGGGGCAAGGGCAACTGATGAAACTAGGGGCAGGCCAGGAGATACCCTGACCACCTCCTAACTCTCCCCTCCCCTCCCCGTCCTTCTGCCCTTGTCTAGGGTGGACCTGCAATAGCCAAACCTTTCCCTCACCTGGTGTGTGCATGGCTCCTGTATCAAGTATCATTCCTGGGGGACTGTGAGGACCATAGCTACCCACCGGGTTTGGCATGAATGGCTGTACCCAACCATGAGGGCAAGCAGGGATAGCAGCTACAGGACAGGGATACAGAGAGCACACGGCCCGGCCGCCCTCCTAGAGAGCATGGTGATATGGTTGCTAAGGAACGAGGCACTGGAGGAGCTGCAATATTAATGAAGCCACTGCAGAGATCGGACCTGACAGCAGCCCCTGGATTATTGATGAGCTCAGCAGCTCAGAGAGAGAGAGAGATTTCTCTTTTCAACACTGGGAGGGCTTTCCTTCGTTCATTCATATTTTTAGGGGCTAAACTTAAAAATCGCTTTATCTGGATCCTGCTTACCACAGAGAGACCCTGCAGGAAGGAAAGGAGGTCTTGGTGGAAGGAACTGCGCTGGGCAGACACAGAGTAAAAACATTAGTTTGTGTGGGATTGGGGTGGGCTTGACCAGTACTGAGGCCAGGCTGAGTGAGCTGTGCTGGTGACAAGATCTGAACTTGGTGCAGCCACTTGCTGCTTCTGTGAAACCTGGGTAAGTGACTTGATACTCTCAGCCTCAGTTTTATCATCTGTGAAGTTGAGAAAGCTTCTTAGGACAAGTATGAGATGTCACATGAGATGGAACATGAGAAACCCCTTGCACAGGGTCTGACTTTTGAGAGCCACCGGATACACGTCACCTTACCTTCTCTGTTCAGGGACTCTTTTATAGCCAACCTGTAAAAGCCAGGTATGGCAGGACCTGGGTGCATCAGAGAAAAAATCACAGCCTGCCCCAGAGGCAGATGGAGGTCCTGCTCTCTTGGAAATGAGGGAACCGAGGGTCAAATTTATTTTGACTAACATGGTTAGGTTATGGAACCTGGACTTCAAGAAAGAATTACTGAAAGGAAAAAAAAAAAAAAAGAATTACTGACAACTCTCATCTGTTTTCTGCCTTTGTTTTGGATAACTGACAAGCAGTCACTGCTGTCCTATAAAAGGACTTTGGCCTTCTCTTGGACTGAAGTCAAGGAGAGACTGAGTCCCTTTGGCTTCCTACAGCCAGCTCAGTGAGAGAATCCAGGGGAGGGGGAACAGGGAGGCTCCCTCTCCTGAAGCTTATCCCTGCTCTGGCTTTAGAGGGCTTTGTTTTACAAGGTGCTGCCTGTCCTCCACAGTGTGGTCAACCACCTACACAAGTGTATGGAGACGGAGCTATATGCACTTATCATGTGTTTATAGTGTGTTTAAGTGTCCACATGTGTTTAAGTGTCCACATGTTCTTCACTGTGATCAGTCCCCTGGTCCCTGGAGGTCTTATGTGTCCCTAGGATATATAGGTAAGTGACTTCTGGGTCCCAGTCTCTTGATCCTGATGCAGGAAGGTGGTGATATTTCCCTGGGTTGTACTCCTCATCTAAGAGAGAGAAGTCACACTGAACAGAGCCAGAGTGGCAGCAGGTGGCACTAGTCCTGCAGGATATCATGTGCTTCAGTGATATGTCTAATTGCAGGGATAATGAGTCATTAGCCTTCCCACCTTCCCCAGGCAACTGCAAATGCAGGCAGGCCAGGGCACTGGGGACCTGCTAGGCCTCACTTATCTTCTCAGCCAGCCTCCCAGCTCTGAGAGAGGAGGCTTTCCTCAGAAAGTATTGCAACAAGGGAATACTGTCCCAGTGATCACCCCTAAGTTTCTTCCATGAAATCTAGGCAATGTGCCAGGCCTGTCTAGGGAAGGAGAAATCTGCACCCTCAACTTTCCAAACAAAGCAAATGACCCCTTAGGCCAGATATTCTCTAGTTCCATGTGCTCCTTGGTTGGTGATTGTTGAATACAGTTGCCCTTCACCATTCTCACAGCAGTGTGCCCGAAAATCAGCAAACGTGACGAAAAATGGCATGTGTGCAGTGTGCAGGCAAAATTAATAACATTGATGATGATAATAACAATAGAGAATCCCTATCACAGGGGTTTTACAGACGGGTTTCTTGGACTCCACAGACATCCTGAAATTGTATAGAATCTGTATAAAAGTTGTTGTGCTCTAGAATGCTTAAGGAGTGCTTTTTTTTTGTGGTGCTGGGGATTGAATCCGGGGCCGTGTGCATGCTGACTTTTAGCTCCCTTAAAAGTGGGTACCTGACCCCAGAAAGATTAAGAACCCCTGCTCTAACACTTGAGTTGGGCAGAAATTCAAAATTCCCACTGAAGGAAACTCAGATGCAAACATAACCATACACACGCTCTCTCTAGTACACAGTGAATACAACAATCACAATTGCCCACAGAACCATAGGCAATAACAAGCAGCTCTGTTCTGAACTTCCTCCTAAGGAAAGGCCTTTCACAGACAGAACAGGGGAATGTCAAGTACTCTTCCCATGGGAAGTTTAACTGAAGGCCCATGCTTATCTCCTCCCTTCAGGGAGAGCCCAGGGCACCAAGCAGGGGAACTCTAGGGCATTTCTCCTTTCTGCCCTAGTTCTGCCACCATGGTCCTGGCTCCCAGTGTGGAGGACATGCTGGAGATGTCCATAGAACAAGACACCAAGTTGGCTGAGCCTGTCCACCTGCTAGCTGAGCTATCTGTGTCCTTGGCACCAAGCTCCAAAGGCTTCAGGGCTCCAAAATCCCAGTGGTTCTTGGTACTACCCACAGCCACTCTGGATGCATTACAAGGTAACAGCCTGACATCATTTACCTCATTTCATATGAGAAAGATTTTTAATTGTTTGTGGGTTTTTTTTATATTTTTTTTAAGAGGGAGAGAGAGAAAGGGAGGGAGAGAATTTTTTTTTAATATTTATTTTTTAGTTATTGGCGGACACAACATCTTTGTATGTGGTGCTGAGAATCAAACCCGGGCCGCACGCATGCCAGGCAAGCGCGCTACCGCTTGAGCCACATCCCCAGCCCCAGATTTTTAATTGTTAATAAAAAAAAAAAATCAATACTAGTTGGGGTGGAAAGGCTTGGGCAAATGAATCAAAATAGAGAGACTATGACTTAACAAGCATGATACTCTTAACTGCCGACCCTGATCTTCTGGTGGCCTTTAGAGTTTGGGCCTGATGAGACCAGGGTAGCTTCTCCACTGTCATCCATTCCATCCCACTAACAAGAAGATTCAGAACTAACTACAGTTTTGAGTAGGCAGAATCATAACCAAATTTAATTTCAGCACCTTGCTATGAACACCTCCCACCCTCCACTGAAAGGTCTGATGCCATCTTCCCAGGGAAAGGCTGGGAACCACAGGCCCAGATTAGCCCTAGCCTCTTCAGTCCCCCTCAAGCCCGTAAAGGTATGGAGTTTAACAAATACTATCTGGGGCTAGAGATCACAGGTGCTAGTGGAATTCTATAGGGCCCTACCCTCCGTCCCCTTACATGCTTATTTAACCATTCCAAGGATACCACTATAGAGTGAGACACAGGGGAGCAGAGATAAAGGGAAGTGGAAAGTTGCTGAATTTTCTCATATATTGCTGGTGGGAGGCGATATGGTACTATAAATGTGCAGATAATCTCTGACCCAGCAATCCCTCTTCTGGAATCTTCCCTGTAGATATAACTGCATGATTATTTAGTTTAACAGCAAATACTGAAGACCATCCACATGTTAGTCAATAGGGGTCATGTTATGTAAATTTGGCATATTCACACAGTAGAATATTGTGTAATTCTGAAAAAGAATGAGATGTACTCTCAAAAGAACAATGGAAAACACTCCAAAAGGAAGATGCAGGACAATATGACCACATGGCACTTTTGAATTACCAAAAAAAAAAAAAA